ACGACGACGACGACGACGACTGCAACTACGACTGCGACTACCGTTGCCGCCGCTGCCGCCAACGTTACCACTGCTGCCGCTGCCGCCACTGGCGCTGCCACTGCTACTGCTACTTCTACTACTCCTGCTGCTATTACTACTACCACCACCACTATTACTTTTACTGCGCCTGCCATTGTTGTCATCAGTTCATATCTCGAAATCGCCTGGGTCCAGAAAATGGCGTCCTTTTTTGGCATGAGGCCGCGACTGTAAACCGGGCACTGTAAAAACCTACACCTGAACTTGGAGCTTACTGGACTGGTATGTTATTCTGCAGAAATGGGTACTGTCAGCAGTTATTTGGGGTAGGGATCAAATAACAGTGAAGGGGCATGTGGCTGTTATCTTATTCCCACCTTTGGGACCAAACCGGGTGCTTAGCTCATAGCATGTTTCTTTCGACTACTCTGCCTGCGAGAATCCAAGGAAGTCCTTTTTTAGTCGTGTTAACACAAGATAGTGTGTAGGCCGTTGCTTTCCCAATGCCAGCGACCGTGGTTTTCCAGCAGCTGCCGCGGTTCTGTAAGGGGTCTTTAGGGGTCTGGTGGGAGTTTAGAGCCGCAGGGGTGCATTGAGGGTTGTGTGTGGCTTGGGCTTTGGGGTTGCAGGTTATGGGGAAATGAACGTTACTTATATAACCTGACCCCTAAACCATAAACTCCCAGAAGCAAGGCGGGAACGGGAGCAAGAGCTGGATCCTCTGGGCTGGGGCAAAATGCTCAAGGCCCCCGGCACCGGAGGCTTTTCCAGTGAACCCTCAACTTTCGATTCAAAAGCCAAAACCCTAAAGACAAAAATCATGCCCAAACCCAAATATAGCTGCTTCTAGGAGATTCGTGTGAGAGTCCGGGATCGCGAAGTGAGAGAGGAGTTGAGTTTGGGTTCCAGCGTTCGGACTCTTAAAGTTGTTGATCTCTCACCAAGAATATCACAAAGGTCTGCGATCTGTTGTTTGGGACGTACTTCGGGTGTGCGTGTAGGATTCTGGGATGAGGAGCTGCGTGGTTTCTACCATAAGTGTGCCCAAGGAAATTAAGATTGCGCGTGATGGTAGTGGTGGTGGTGGTGGCGGTGGTGGTGGCGATACGACACTGTTGCCGCTGCCGCTGCTGCTGCTGATGGTGTCGCTCTGTCCACACGGTCTTGCTTGAAGTGTTTGCTGTTCATGGCGAGGGCTATGGCTGTTGTGACCACTGCAGTGGGGTGGCTGTCGTTGCCAGGGACGAAAGCCTCAGCCGCTGTTCCCGGACGTGGAGGCCGATGTGCACGATTCGAGACTCCAAAAGCAAACTGATTCTGTAGCCATGCTTGAAGGTTGACACACAAGCCAGTCAGCCTTCCCTAACAGCCACAAGTTCATATTTTGTCGGCACTTGCTCTTCTAGGTATGAAGTTTCCGGCCTTGCATCATGTCGTGGCATGTCGAACCCCACAAGTTAGTGGGATTGTTTGGGGGTGTTCTCAAATTTCCTGTTGGGGGCTTGGGCTTTAGCTTGCAGGCCTGAAGAACTTGGTGAGCGGAGAACCTCAACCATTGGTTTTGAAGACATCAACTGAAAACCACAACCCGCGCGAATCACCGACCAGACTGGGCACCTGAAGCTTCAAACCCTATAGCCCCTCAACGCTAAAGCCCTTCAGGGTTCTTGAGTTGGGTGGGTGTTCATCGGTTGGGGATGCATGCTTTGGGGTTTCAAAAATCCCTAAACCCCAAACCTCAAACCTGCAAATCCGGCAAACCCGAAAGAAAATAATCCGAATTTAAATCCTCCTTACTTCTAGTAGCCTCATAGAGCCCTCATATCAACTTTGTAATACCGCGAGAACCCAAGAAATCCCATGGATCCCGGGCCCTGTGAGGCGAACCCGCCCGTGCTCTCCGGAGAGCTTGCGACCGCAGGCTTTTGGGTTTAGGGTTTAGGGTTTAGGGTTTAGCGAGTCTTTCGGGGCTTGTCGTCGGTGCGGAAGTGGGTTGTTCTTCGGCCTGAGAGGGCGTCTTGCAGATAGGGGCCTGCATGCCTGGAAGTTTGGGAGGTTTTTGGGGGTATTTTTTCTGCTTCAGGAATAAATGAGGGAACGTGCTTTTGGTGCTTGAAGGATGGTGGGTTTAGGTTTTAGGGTTTAGGGTTCGGGGGTTGTAGATTACAAGGCAGGTCGCCGCTCGTGCGTTGATTGCCTTGGGCCCTAAAGGAAAGAAAGCCTCGGCCATGGTGGAATCCTAAGCCCAAAGCCAGAACAGAGACGTTGCCATAACCTTAAACCCAGCAGGCCAAACCCAATACCCAAAAACCTCTAAGCCATAAATTTCCTGCTGCCCAGAGCCCATTGTGGGCATGTACTCAGCGAGTCCGAGCTGTAGCGTGCCTGCCCGGGCAGCCCAGTTCGGCGGATTCTTCAACGTGGGAGTCGTCTAGGGTTTAGGGTTTTCATAGTTCATTGTTGAAGGGTTGCACGCAGTTAGTTTTTTGGCTCTGCACGGGGTGTCTTGTTTGTAGGGGCTTCGGGCGGTGTCAGGTTTCAAGGGCTCCGGGTCAGAGCTTCAGGCTAACATAAACCCAAATCCCAAACCTCAAAGGAAACTGAAGAATACAAGACCCGCATTCATGCGAAACACGGAGTCCCAAACTCCTATCTGGGAGTTTCCGAAATCAGTGAGCCTAAGTGGCAGGAGTTTACCAAAGGACAGCGAAATAAAGGGGGGGGTCAAAGCCACAGTTTTCTTCATGAGCCCGGTTTTGGGTGTTGGACCTATCGGTTCGAAGGACCCGACCCCGAGGTTTCAACCCAGGCTCCCCTTGGACTTTACAAAAAAAGGGGCCTAAGGGATTAGAATAGGGTGCTGAGGGATGTTAGTGGATATTTATTAAGCAGAGTCCATAGCGGTAGCGGTTCTTACGGGAACGGAAGAGCCCCAGTAGTTGGTTAACAACCCTGCCCGAAACTCTGAATCACGCCAGAACACTGCACGTCACATCCCGAACTACGCACCCCAAATCCTACGTAGGCCAAGGTTTCAACTGACTGTAAGAGCAGCAATAACAGTAGGAAGAAAAGTCACGATCGTGCTGGTGGTGATAATCGTAATAATGATGATTGTTATCATCATTGTTGTTAATGTTTGTACCATGGTCATGATTAAGCTGGTTTCTTCTACAACAACTGCATAGACGATTGGTAGCAACAGGAGTACGCAGGTCCCTGGCCCTTAGCCTCAAATCACCCGGCGGGATCTCGAAGGCTCGCATGTACCGCGAGGTGCGAGCTGTCTGGAAGACTGTTTAGGCATATGGGTAGTTCTCTTAGGGTCCCTTTTAGGGTCCTTTTTATAAGGGTGCCATACTATATTGGGGACCTAAAAAGGGGCCCTAATTTAGAGAATGACCCATATGTTTCTTTGGGCTCTTGGGATGCAGGGCTTGGGTTGGAAGGCTTAGGGCTTTCAGTTTTTTTCAGGGCCCCGAAGCTAAATGGCCCCTGGGTTTGTTTGAAGCTTATTCGAATCTTATCAGAATTTAGGACTGTACAGGGCCGACAAGAAGGGTGTTTGCTCGATGCGCTAGAGAGGGTTCCAGAAAGGACTCTATGTTGGTTTTACAAGGGTGCCCTTATGATTTGGGAAATCCGCATGCGGTCGTTACGCAGTGCGAGCAGAAATTAAGATGAGTGGCTGCGGATCGGGCTGTTGGACGAGCTTTATAGGACTTTGTGCAAACAGGGTTGTCTTTGTCGGTGGGCTTTGTTCTATAGTTCTTTCGACCCTTTTCGCTCGTCCTTTCAGGACATAAGGGGTCCCAACTTGGACCCCAAGCTGTAGGATCCTGAAACACGGACCTTAAAATGAGAATTTAGGGTTTAAGGCTTAGGGTCCTCTGGTGCGGGTGCTGAGTGCTGTCAGGGATCTCTGCCTTTCCAAGGGTCTGGGGGCTTTATCTTCGGAGGTTCGAGGGCTTTGCACGTATCAGCGCCATTCTCGTCTTTTGCCGGTCTAGGATTGTAATCATCATCACCGTCGTCATCATCACCATACCAGACAACGGTAGCAGCTGCGCCTGGTTGTCAATCGACACCCTATCTGTGCTTTTTTGCATCTTGTCTGCTCCGTTGCTGGTCTCACGGCTACAACAATCACGATAACCTTCACTGACTTTGCTGTAAAGTATTTTTAATGGTTTGAATGTTAGTATCATTACCATCAGCATCATCGTGGTACTCCTACGTGTACATCCGTGTTGTTGCCACCGAGGAAGTCTCCGATCTTCTGACTGGGCAACTTAGGGGGGTTTAGGGCTTCCCAAGGTTGAATCTCAACTGCTTTGCGTGCCCTTGGAAGCCCTTAGCTTTTTGTCCAGAATGTCAGAATTACTCCAAAGGCCTGGGTGATATCTTTGCTGCAAGGTCGTGAAGATTCAATAAATCTCAGCCGAACCGATTCCAAGTCTTGGAAGCCAGAAAAGCCTTCAACCCCAATGCCAGCATCCCACGCCGGAAACCTTGAAGTCAAAAGCCCACAGCCCTCCGGAAGCCCGGACCCTAAGGTTCCACGGTAGTCCGGTGGTTTGTTGCCTTTAGGCTGGGGGGCTGTGCCACCCTGCAGAACGCTCCCGGAAACAGCGTTCATTTCATCTCAAGTAGGCCCGCGTCGCTGTGCCCAGAACCTGGAGCCCAGTACTGCAAACTAAGTCCTAAACCCTGAGCCCAAATGCACAATAACAGCCCTCTACGGGGCAGAACGGTGTGCCTGGTTTACCAGGAACTCGAAAAACCCAAACTAGACCCGATGCAGTCTTCCCCGAAGCCCGAAGCCTCAATCTTTGCTCGGCTTCTCTCAGGACTTGCTGGCCGGGGCCAGGGACGACCCGGCGGCTTCCAAAGAGGCCTCGGAAGGGTACCACGATGTAATGTAAGGTAATGTCCTACGACGCTGTGCAAAGCAATGTAAGGTCAGGCAATGTACTGTAATACCAGGCAGCACATTTTTAACTACTTTCCTTGCCTTGCCCTCCAGAGCACCACATAGAAAGGCGTCAACGTGCATTACATTGCATTCAAGGGCCTTGCACGGCATTGCATGACTTAACATTTCCTGCCATTACCTTGCATGGCAGTACATGAAATTACATATCATTGCATGGCATGACATGACTTTGCATAATGTAGCATGACGGCCAATGACATTGTCACTGCATGGTATTGCATGACATTGCAAGACACAGCATGACAATTGGCTTGGCAGGACTTGACATTAAATTGCGTCACATTACATCGCATTGCATCGCATGGCATGAGCTCACATTACCTGCCATCATATTGCGTATCATTTCATGATACTGCATGTCTTTACATGGCATTACTTGGCATTGCATGGCAACAGACATTCTATGACAGTACGTGACATGACGTTGCATGGCTTGACATGACCTGACGTGACATTACATGACATCACTTGACATGGCATAACACTACATGAGCTGAGATTGACAAGTAAGTAAATAGATACATGCGTACATACATACATATGTGCAACCTCAGAGTATACCTCAGAGTATATTGCACATATCTGCCACAGAAGCATGGCCACCCCTAGAAGGAGAATGAGCTCTGGCGCAATGCTGCGGAACTCCTCACTCAGACGTGGGTGCCTGAAGTCAGGTTGCATGGTTTTGGCCTTGGGTGTAGGGCTTTGAGGTTCAACTGTCAGGATTTGCGAACGCCCATGGAACTCGTTTTAGGGCGCGGCTTCTGGCTGACGCAAATGCATTGGTCAAGTACATGCCAGCACGCCAAAAGTGGTTCATACGAACACATGCAAACAGATAGACAGATAGACTTGTGCTGCAAATATTCATGTTCATTGTGCTGCGAATATTCATGTTCATTCTTGTGTAAGCCAAGGCACAAGTAGTGTAGTACCAAGTTGATAGCATACGACGACACCAAGAGATGTTTGCAGATGGCTTATGCAAACTTTGTCAAGATACAACATACAACCACACTCGTTCGAAATGCGCTGAAACGCTGCCCCACACAGGCACAGTTAAAGCTGTTCCTCTCTGCTATAGCAACTAATTATAACAATCTAGCAGCCCGACCCAGAACCCTGAACTCCACATCCTACTTAGGCACCAAACCAGCGAACCCGAACTCCTGAATTTATGACGAAACGAGTTGAAATTCTTGCAATTGCAGCTTTAGCGTCTAAGGACTGGATTGGGTGAACGGCTAGGGTGTTGGGGTTTGGGGTTTGTCAAGGGTTAGGGCCACGGGGTCGTCAATCTGCACACACTTAGTCCCATATAGACGCTTTGGCCGTACAGACGATGCGGACCATGTGTGTGTATGTCTATGAATATAAATACACATGTATATATAGATGCGTGTATAGCACTTCGGACAACAGTATCAGCACACCCACCTACCCGAACAAATAGTAGCCTGCGGAAGCCATCTGCACAAGCCTGTAGCAGTTCCACCAAAGTGGTAAGGATAGGCCCTAAACCCGAAACCCAAACCCTAAGCCCTAAACCCTAAGCCCTCAGCCCTAAACCCTAAGCCCTCAGCCCGAAACCCTAAGCCCTCAGCCCTAAACCCTAAGCCCATTAGGGTTTAGGGCTTTTTTTTTCAGCCCTGCAAGGATAGAGCCGATGTGGCCGGAGGCCGAGGCGCCTTTCCTCCCCGAGTTCTTTACTCTTAGCCTTTCAGTCTGATACAGGCACTTGAGGGCCTGATTTAAAAAGCAAGAGATTTTGATTTAGGCTTGGAGGTTTAATGTTTCGTTGTTTAAGGTCTGGGGCATCTGACCGGAGTTCACAGGGCCGGACATCTCCGAACGTGTCCAAGCACCCAAATGTCGCCATCTCCTAAACCCGAAACCCTGAGCCAGCAAAGTCAGCAAAGGCGGAACAGAGCATCTTCGTCTTAAACGCCAGCAAAAGAAACAAACACAGCCCTAAAGCCCTAGAAGGCTCGAAAGCCCTATCAGCTCCCTAAGCAAGCCCTTTAAAGGCCCCAAGAAGCAAGAAACCTAAAGCCCTAGAAGGCTCTAAAGCCCTACAAGTTCCCTAAACAAGCCCCTTAAGGGCCCTAAGAAGCCCCCCCCCCCCCTCTTGCTCCAGTCCTTTAAAGGCCCTCCTTAAGAAGGCCCCCCCCCCTCTTTTTCCCTCCGAAGAGGAGCGGGTCATGGCCCTGGTCAGCGCCGAGTTCAAGGCCGAAGAGCGGCCGGGGGCCCCCAGGGAAAAAGACTCATTATTTTTGGGTTTTTTGAGAGGATGGCAGGGGGGTTGGGGGGGGGGGGGTTTGGGTTTAGGGTTCAGGGTTGTTTGGGGTTTTAGGGTTTGGGGTTTAGTAGGGTCGGGTCTAGTGTTTTTTGGCCTTTTGGGGTTTCGGGCTTGGGTGGGGTTTCAGAGTTTCCCAGCAGGCTGCAACTGTAGTGTGGAAGGCGCAACCGTGCGGAGACGTTTAGTGTAGATTTGCGGATGGGAGCTCAATGGACTCAAATGGTTCGAATTCAGTTCAGAAGTCTCCCGTGGAACACTGAAAACGGTACATAAACCAAAGGCCCCAGGCCTTTTTTTCCATCGAATTCTCACAGAAGCGCAGTCGAGGATTGACGGTTTTTGCCATCTCCCAAGGCGCGAGTCGAAGGTCGGCCAAGTGCGCAAGCGGGTGCTCAAGCAGATGGTCCGGGCGAACACGGGCCTCCGCTCTGAGGACCGCCTAAGGGCCTAAGACATGGGGGAAGTCATATAGATGTAGATGTACGTACGTATGCATGCATGATCCTGCTTGTACGCATGCATATATGTACGGATGGACCAGTGTGTGTGTGTGTAGGTATGCATGCATGCATGCGCGTGCGCATGCATGCATGTACACAAATGCACATGTAGTTAGCTAGATTAGTATTGGATCGTTCTTCATTTTGCGATTGTTGAACTGTTTCGCTTAAGTTGTGTGTGTTTACGTTTAGGGTCTAGCGGTCTAGGTACCTGACCCAGGAGAGGTTGCCGGGAAGCGTTCGTAAGGGCGACGCACGCGCCCAGTCGTTTTGGGGAGCGCATCCTCTTGTCGTCGCTTGTTGCGTTTGTTTGCAGGGTTCGGTAGGGATGTTTGGGGCCATGGTCCTCTCCTCGAGGGCTCAACTGTCAACAGAGCTTCGAGAAAGAGAGCCTTGAAAGTCAACGCGGAATGAAGCACGTTCGTGTTGTGGCCCCCAAACTCATGATTACCACTCTGACGCTCGTCCTTCAATTTTTGTTCGTCCCTAGTACCGTATTTAGATCATCTCAAACGGCATGACATGCCTCCAAGTCGGGAGCAGAGCGGTGTCGTAGGGTTGTTTTGGGATCCTGGGCAACCCTAAACTGAGGCCTTAGGCCGTAAAGCTAGAAAAGCCTTGTCGAACTTCATTGAGCCCTCTAGATTTCCATCTGCGGCCCTTTACCGTATAACTGCAGGAGGAGCTGGACGGTCTGCTGACCATCCTTCAGACCGACAAGCGCCCGGGGCTCTGAAAACTCTTGGACCAAGGGTGTGTTTTCTGATTTTTTTTTGTGGTTTCTTTGATGCGCCTCCAGGTTTTCGTAGGCCTTGCAAGGATATGTGTTTTTCAAACAAGGGTTCCCATGGGTTTGCATAGGTTTCGCATAGCTTGGAGGGTTCTTCTCCGATGACCCTAAACCTCAAGCCCTCGTTTAAAGCCTCCCGAAGACACTTCGGTATCCTTGCTTCAAAATATGAACAATACTCAAAATGATAATGGTAATAATAGTCAGAACAACACGAAGAGCAGTAGTCGTAGTCGGTAGTATTATTATGAATATTAGCAGTAGTACTAGTACTACTAGTAACAACAACAATTATAGAAACGGTAATAATGCTAAAAGTAATAGTAATAGTAGTAGTAGTAGTAGTAGTAGCAGCAGCAGCAGTAGTAGGTGTAGTGTACTGCTACTACTACCACGACCACTACCACTACCACTACCACTACCACTACCACTACCACTACCACTACCACTACCA